TTAAACAAATCAATTTGCCAGCGTCGAGGCATACGGCTTAATGGCATTTAGCGCATTTTGTCAGCGCGCTTTGCTTGCGCCAATGCCCACAGTGTCTTATGCAAGTGAACACACGGGACCCAGTCAATTAAATTTACATAAATGCATATTTAATACTCGGCAATTGTAAAAGTTACTTAAGTTTCTGCAAAAAGTAGTTAACGATTGCAGAGATTTTCACTTTGAAGCCATGCAAATGGAAACCTAGAGCTTGATTATAACTGTAATTTAGTAAACTAGCTTAGGCTTATAGACTTGGGACTATAAATTCTTTCTTAGCTAATAAGCATTCTACAAATTCTCTATGAAAGTTTGTAAAATTGCCTCACTATTGGCTTGGCAAGTTTGTCTTCTGGGCTGACCTCTAGAGCTCCAGGAAAGCTGCTTCAATTAGGACGGATAGCGGACAGCAGATAGACGCACAGACAAACAGAAGAACAGGACTAGATAGACTCAGTTCATCGTTCTAATCAAGAATATATATCTTTTATGGCTTTTGCCACGCCTCCTGCTGCCAGTTACACACAATGCAACAAAAGATCATATAAGCTCATAGAACTTTAAATTCGAACAAATTCGAATATAAAATAATTAACTTTTTTCTTATGTCTTGCATTAATTAATTTCAATTTTTAAATTTTTTAAATTTGTTTATTTAATAAAAATAGTTTTTTATAAATCATTTTATGTCTCTCAAGGCCATATTTACTTATACCAAATGCTCCACTTGAATATTCATAATACTTCAGGCTGTTGAGGATTAGTTGCCTTCAAGCATCACTCGCATTCATTGAGATTAGATATATATAAATAATTATATATAGATATATATTCAAATTGATATCTGAAGTTTGTTCAAGGTCAATTTATGCTAGTTTTCCCTCGCATCTGCATTAGCAGCTGGACGCCGCATGTGTTTCATAGTCTTTAAATTTGTTGTTGTTTTTTCATAGACCTCACAGCGTTTGCTGTGCTTCGTCTTCCAGAGGTCAAGAGACGCGAATAGTTGAACCAAGTCAAGCTCCTCCCTGTGCGCAGTGGAAGAACTCAGATGCCAATGACCTATCGTAACGCCTGTTAGGTTTGGCAGCTGTTTTTCATTTCTTTTATTTTATTTATTTAATTTTTTTGCCATTCAATTTACTCTATGCGCTCACTTTGTTCTCTACTTTGTATTTTATTTTATTTTTACGGCTACTTATTGATTTTCAATTAGTTTGTTTCGTTTTCCGCTAGCAAGTTTGGCTTTGGTTGCGATTTTGGTTCGTTTGTTTTTTGCGCGTCTTGTTTTTTGCCTTTCGCATTTTCCACTGCAAATTGACATACTTAATTTGTTATCGATGTCAGTCGGGTGTATGTGGTGTGTGTGTCTTACATGGGAAAAACTTTTGTGCTCATAAAATATGCAATTTGCTGTTTGTTTTGGCAAAGCGCATCCCAGCGATTTGGCCAGCGTTTGCGATTGCGATTGCAATTGCTGCTGCTGCTCGACTTTGGCAAGAGCTCTTGGCCAGGCCAATGCCAAAAAAGTGTCAGGGTTAGGCCAGAAATAGACACATGCCAATATGCTGGGTCCATAAACAAGCCAAAGAGTCGCGCTGCATGCGCCAAATGGAGAGGCCGCACACTCTGTGTCTGTCGATTTTGTGGTTTGTATTGAAATCTTTTTCCAACTTTTAAACTACACTTAAAGCGGCAATCAAAGATTTGTTTGGCAAATACTTAGAACATGGAAGCGCTTGAAAACTGTTCTTGGCCAAGGATATGAGAGGAAATAGAGTGCTAAAGAGAAGCTAAAGAAAAAATAACTATAATAGGTGAATAATGAATGAAGAAAGCTTTCAAGAGGGAAAACAATTAAATTTTTATTTATGCTAAAAGGATAGAGAAATCATATAGGTTTTTTATAGAAAACATTTTGTCAGTAAAGCGTTGACGAATATTGCACAAAAATTAAATTTCAATGGAGCAGGAAGAACTACAAAGAATTATTAATTATATTACTATAAAATATATAAGTATATAAACTAGTTTCTTGTTTGGGAAATATGCATAAAAAAGAAAGACAAATACAAAAGAATGCGAAGAAAGAATTTATGAATGAGGCGAAAAAGAAGACAAGACAAGAAATAACATGAAATATTGCCCAAGCAAGAGTGATACTACTTTCGACAGCTGTATGCTAGCAGCTGTTTAAGAAATTCAGAATATTTAACTGTTAATATGTGCATTACGCTTTGTCATTCATTACGACTGCCAAGCATAGCAACTCTGGAAGTTGTCAGGTTGGCAACTCTGTCATCTCACACTGGACTAGGTCAACAGCAAGGCCCTTGTTACAGTTAAATTTTGCATAATGACAAAAGCTGGATGCTTTCTATGTTTGCTACTAGACAATCCGCTCACATTTAGTCTTCAGCCCTCAAGCCTTCAGTTTAATGCTGATTAAGAGAGAGTACAAATTCACATTAGTACTAATAAATAATTCGAATATCATGAAAAACAAGTATAAAAGCGTTATTTTTAAGCGGCTCTACTTAGTGTTTTAATCAGAGAATTAAAGTTAAGTGGTGTCATTTGTAAATGCTTTGTGTCGTCGGCTCTTTAAAAGCGAAGCTAATTACGATGAAAAGTTTTTGCCAACAGTTGAACTCTCGAATGCCGGTAATTAATTTATAAAATTACTCATGCGGCTAAATAATGGATTTAGTTTTTAGTTTGTTTCTCTATTTGTTTGTTTGTTGCTATTATTATCGGCGTTGTTGCCTTATGCGAAGCCCTTTTGACTGGCTAGTTGATTCAGTTGGCGAGCCTTTTGTATGCTGCGGTTTGTCGGGGCATAAAAATGAAATTTATGCGCGCAAAATGCATTTTGTGTGCGTTCCGTGCCGCATTTTAATTTCATTTTCACAAATAATAAATTTACATATAGACATGCAAAAAAGAGACAACTTTTTATGCTCGTTCAAGTAGTTAAAAGAGTCCATTTGGTCGAATGTTTCTCTTGCTGCGCTGCCTGTATGAAGTCGTTGAAGGATAAAGACTGGGAATTTGGGAGCATAATAGAATTTTTTGAATACATCCACAAAGATTGTAGCAAGTCGGCAAATACTATAGGCTTCACAGTTTTACTGTTTGAATGCTGCAATTGAGTAACTGTCTCTCTACAGATTGAATTATAGAAAAATAAAGAAACATATTTTAAATATCAATGAAATTGGCTTTTTTGGGTAGGAAATTTCATGTCATTAATGATGTTATATGATTTCAACCATCTAGCTGCCAAGGCTGGCATACACATGACACAATCTGGAACACTAATTATCACAATCATGAGCATCATCGGGTTTGAAGACATAAAACGCACCAAACAATAATTTTCTTTTGATGAAATGGTGTTTTAGCAGAAACTTGTGCATTATCCTCACTTCAAATAATAATAATTATGCATACCATAATATGAACTAAACGCTTGAAGAGGCTGAGTAACCCAGCTCTTATTTTAATATTAAACATTAATGATTTAAATATGTTGTAATGAATAATAAAATGTCAAGCCAAATTCAATAAAAATTAGCTATTAACTGTTAAATAGGCTGTCAAACAAAGCAACGTCTCTAGCTTAAAGATGTGAGCCTCTAAAAAATACAACCTTTATTTTTCACATTTTTAGAGCTAGCAACATTACATGAATCATTTCCTCCCCACATAGAGCTACACACATCAAAGTCTATTCAGCTCGCCTAAATTAAGAACGAGCATTACACAGTCAGTCACGCCCGACTGCAGCGTTTTAACTGTTTTTTTTATTATTATTATTATTTAGTTGTTTGCTCGAATGGATTTTGCATTAATTTATTTATAAATAATTATTTACAAGCAATTAACTTTATGCGTACTTTTCATTTCGTTATTTGGTTAGTTATGCATTTTGGGCTTTAGTTGCGAAATTTTGAGGTTTGCACCGAAAGTGCAAAGTGCCAATTAATTTGAATAGTAAAATATAATTTCAAATGGTTTTAGCAACATTTTTGATTGGTCAGCTTGGCAAACAAATTTAAATAGAATTTATTTGTTTACTTTTCCGTTTGATCCAGCTGGAAAGGTATTTAATCAGCATATTTCCGTGATACCCTGTAAAAGTCTCTGTAAGTCAGGAGTTGAAATTAAAAAGTTGTTTTTGATTTTGTTTTTTTAATTGTTGTATATATTTTTTAATAGTTTTTTTTTTGTTTTTCGTTTTTCATATATAGTTTTTCTTGCGATTTTGTAATTGTAATAATTAATTTAATAATACATTTTTTAGTTAATTTAATTAATTTAGGTGTGGTTTTTTATATTATTATCATAATACATAAATACATTAAGTGTGCTAAATAATTTCTATGCTTGGATCTCTCTGTCTATATACACATATCTATAATGATAATAATAATAATAATAATAATATTATTTTTCGTTTAGTTATTATGAAAATCTTGTTAAGAATGTTTTGCTTCCTCTTCTATATATTTGATGTATATGCTTTAGGCCAGGCTAGAAACTAATGGCTACAAATTACAGTTGTTCTGCATTAGTCGTATTTCCAGTATATATATATTTATATATATATTGTTTTTAATTAATATATCACATTGAATTTGAAAGTGTTTTTGCAACATTTCTAGTAATTTTTAGTTTTTTTGTAGTAATTAAATTTTAATAATAAGCTTAAAGTTATATGTGTGGATGTATATATATATATATATATGCGTGTGTGGTTGTGTATGTATGTGTGTGTGCTTGTGCGTGTTTGTGTTGGTTGTGCAAGACAACTACAAAACAACAACAACAACAACACTTGAACACCGAAGGCGCATGCGAATAGAAATGCCTACGAAAAAGTCTTTTAATTTATATATATATATATATATATATTTATATATATATGTGTATTTATATATATATATTATGCATGTGTGTGTGTGTTTTGCGCAAGTGAGCGAGCTGCTTCAAGATGGCTGCCGTTGCGCAGGAACCCTTTTTGAGTGTGTGCGAGCGAGACAGCTTATACGAGAAAAGCTTGGCCTGTGTTCTTATTGGCGCTGCCCGCTTCGCTGCTTCCAGCTGCGGCCTGCTGCTGCTGCTGCTGCTGCATTTGTTGTTGCTGCGCAGCCGCAGCGGAAGTGGATGCTTGTGCTGTTGACTGCGTGCTATTGCTCGCCTGACTTAGTCCGCTGCCGCTGCGCAAGTGCACAGGCGCTGTCGCCGATGTCGACGCCGCTGCCGCAGCTGCTGCTGCCGTCGTCGACGCTGCTCCGGCTGTAGTTGTTGGGCGATATTGCGGTTGCAACAGTCGCTGCTGCTGCTGCTGCCGTGCCAATTGCTGCAGCTGATGCGCCTGCAATTGCTGCTGCTGTTGCTGCTGCTGCTGCTGATGATGATGCGAATGATGCTGCATCAGAGCGCTGGGCATCATGGAGAGCGCCTCGTGCTGATCGTAGGCACTGTATTCCGACTCGATGCTATGATAAATGTGCTCCGACGGCGGGCGCATGGCCAGGGATTCGACAACGGGTCGCATCGGACGCGGCGAGGGTGTGGCCGTCGTGGCTGACGAGTAGTTCGCCTCCATGTCCTCGGTGCAGTAGTAGGCGGGCGGCGGGGGTGCCTGCCGAAAGATGAGGCCGGGCGAGACGGGCTGCTTGAAGCGCTCATGGTGATCCAAGGTGTAGTTGTTGCCCCTGGGCGACAGCTCGATGGGTATGGCATAGCGCAGCTTCTCCCAGAAGTAGCGATCGCAGGTGAGCAGCCGGTTCGATGGCACCGACTTGAGATAGGGCGCCAGCTCGGCGACATCTTCGGCCTCGCTCGACACGCTCGTCTCCTCGATGATGACCAGCTTTTGGGCCAGGCCGCGCAGCGCCTCGTGGAACGCGTTGCGGAACTCGACGCGCTGCCATTCGGTGGCCAGCAGATGACGTGTCAGCACCAGAATGATCTTCCTCGATGCCCGGGCGCCCTCGACCAGCTGCAGGTGACTCGCCTGCGGCGGCAGGTCGCGCTGCTGTATGCACAGCCGGAAGGGCGGACGGCCGTGCTCCAGCTCGGCAGCAATGTTGCGGCAGACGAACTCGTAGTCCTTCTCCGAGTGCAGGATGATGGCATCGTACAGCTTGCCGGCGTCCTCGAAGCGCGGCTCGCACACGCGCACGCCGTAGTGGGCGAAGAGCCACATGCGCACGCTCTCGCGGAACACGAAGACAATGATGAGCACCACCACCAGGAAGATGAGCACCAGGACGGCAGCGAGCAGGGGCAGGCGATAGCCATGGGCCAGATCCTGGGCAGAGCTAATGTTGCTGGCGCTCGCGTCGAGCAGATCGGAGCAGTCAGCCGTGGGCAGCAGCTTCTCCTGGCCCAGCAGGTCCAGCTCGCGCTTGATGCCGCCATCCACGCAGTAGATGTCCGGCGTGTCGCGGATGACCAGCGCATTGTCCGTCACGAACTGCACCAGCTCGCGCAGCTGCTGGCAGCGACAGCTCCAGCTGTTCCTGCCCAGCGTCAAGCCTTGCAGATTGCTGGGGTACTGCAGATTGGGCAGCTGCAGCCGATTGTTGTCCAGGCGCAGCAGCTGCAGCGAGACCAGCGGCGCGAAGGTGTCGTTGGCCACGTGCGCCAGCTGATTGCCCTGCAAGTGCAGCTCGCGCAGCAGGCTAAGCGAGCGGAAGCTGTCCGCGTCCAGGCTGCTCAGCTTGTTGTGCTCCAGGTGCAGGACGCGCAGCTGGGGCAGCTGCGAGAGGCTGCCATTGGCCAGGGTCACCAGATTGGAGGCGTTCAGATAGAGCGTGTGCAGGTTGCGCTGCCCCGCCAGGTGGGCGGCCTGCAGCAGGGGCAAGTTGTTGCCATCCAAGTAGAGGACGTTGACGTCCTGCGGCAGTCGCGGCGGCAGGCTCAACAAATCCTGCTTGCCGCAGTCGACGATGTTGTTCGACCAGGTCGCGTCGTGGAAGCAGCTGCAGTTGTTGGGGCAGATCAGCTCGCACTCGCAGCTCTCGTACTCGCAGCAGTGGCACGTGGCCGGGCAGTGGGTGTCGTATTTGCAGAGGAAGTCCGCGGAGCTCAAGCTCGACAGCGGACGCAACGGCGCCTGCCGGCTGTGTGGCATGAGGCACTCAATGTTGCCCAAGTCGACGACGCGCGGATGCTGACGCGTCGTTAGATTGTTGATGCGCTGCAGCCACTCCAAAGAGCAGTCGCACTCGAACGGATTGCCGCCCAAGTAGAACTCCGGCTGGGGCTTGTCCAAGGCGATGGGCGCAACGCGCAGCGCGTTCAGCGACAGCTTCGACAAGACGTTCGCGTAGAGATCGACGCGCGCCAGACGCGTCTTGTCCACGAAGCTGTTCGGCTGCAGCTGGCTAATTATGTTATTGTTGATGAACAGCAGCTCGATGGAGTTGGGCACGGAGTTGGGCGTGATCTCCGTGATGCGATTGTGGCTGGCGTCGAGCGTGCTGACGCGCAGCTCCTCCTGCAGCTTGTAGTAGTTGCCCAGCGCCTCGATGTAGTTGCCGTGTATGTCCAGCCACTTGAGGTTCGAGGGTATGAACGCGTAGTCGAACCACACCAAATGATTCTCGGACAGATTCAGCCAGAGCAGCGAGGCGAGCGTGGCGAAGATGCCGTTGATGTCCGTGAGGAAGTTCTTGTCCAGGCGAATGGCCTCGATCTCAGTGTTCCTGTCGAAGGCGCCGCGCTCGATGCTCTGTATGCGATTCTTGGCCAGGTTCAGGACGCTCAGGCGCGGCAGCTGCTGGAACATGCCCACCGTGATGTTGCCAATGCGATTGTCGATCAGGCGCAGGCCCGTCAGCTGGTTCAGGTTGTTGAAGGTGCCGTTCTTGAAGTCGGAAATCTGATTCTCGCCCAGATCGAGCGTCTTGAGCATGCTCAGGTCCTGCACAGCCTCCGGCACCTCCAGCAGCTGGTTGGAGCTCAGGTCCAGCTCCTTGAGGTCCGAGCAGTTGCGAAACGCTTGCGTCTCCACGATGCTAATCAAGTTGTTGTTCAGCGTCAGCTTCGTCAGCACGTAGAGTCCGTTGAAGATGCGATTGTCCAGCGTGTGCAGACGATTCTCGGCCAGGTTGAGTGTGTGCAGGTTGTAGAGCGGCAGGAAGGCGCCCTCCTCGATGTGCCCAATCGAGTTGTTGCGCATGTCCAGAATCTGCAGGAAGTACAGCTCCTTGAACGTCTTGGCGCCAATGCGCGTCAGCGCGTTGTTCGACAGATTCAGCACAATCAGCCGGATCAGACCCGCGAAGGTGTTGTTGTCGACGTGGTGGCTGGTCAGCTGATTGGCGCTCAGATCGAGCACCAGCAGCTGCTCCAGGCGGTGCAGCAGGCCCTTGGGCAGGTCGTACAGATCGTTGTGATGCAGGTGCAGCTCGCGCAGCTCCTTGTTGCCAGCAAAGGCGGCAGCTGGCAGCGATTCCAGATGATTGTGCGACAGGTTGAGGACGCGCAGCGAGCTCAGGCCGGCCAGCGAGCTGGGCGCCAGCGTGCTGATGTTGTTGTGCTGCAAGCTGAGCGTTTGGAGTCGCCGCAGACGCGACGCGCCCCACGCATCGGGCAGAGCGCGCAGCTCGTTGTGCGACAAGTCCAGCTGCTGCAGCTCAGCGCCGCCGCTCACCTGGTTGGGCTGCGCCGTGCCCATGCACAGCTTCTCCGAGAAGCCGAGGTATTCGGCGGCGCGAATGCGATTCTGTGTCAGATTCAGCAGCTGCAGCCCGGGCATGCTGCACCAGATGCCCTCAGGCAATTGCCGAATGTTGTTGTCAGCCAAGTGCAGCTCGCTCAGCTCGCGCAGGCCCTGGAACGCCTGCGAGTGCAGCTCCAAGGTGCGGCCCGGGCCCCACACGGCGTTGTGCGTCTCCAGCTGCAGGCGCTTCAGCGAGAGCAGACCCTCGAAGGCGTTGGCCGGCACGCGCTGCAGCTTGCAGGCGTCAACGCGCAGCTCGGACAGCTTCTGGAGCTTGCGAAAGAGGCCGCTGCTCAGCTCGCTGGCGTGCAGCAGGTCGGCGCTGCACTGCAGCTCGAAGCGGTTGGCCGTCTCGGCCACCTGTAAGTCCAGCGTGGCTCCGGCGCCCTGGTCCAGGGCACGCACATTGCACTTGATGTCCATTGTGGTGCGCACGAACTCCCACGCACATTGCTGCGCATGCGTCGCTGCTGCCAGCAGCAGCAGCAGCAGCAACAGGCAGCTCTTTGTGCTGTTTGCTATCGCTGCTGCTGCCGCAGTTGCTGTTGTTGCTGTTGTCATTGACATGTTGCTTGAGATTTGTTGCGTGTTGTTTGCTTTAATTTCAATTGGATTTTCTCTTATTTTTGCACGGGATTTGGGATATTTGATTTTTGTTTAAAAAAACTTTTATTCACTTTCTGGTTTTCATATTTGAGCGTATTTTTGTTGTCGTGCTTCTGGGTTGTTGTGCGCGTAACCGTAATCCTTGTAGTGTGTGGTGTAACTGTGTTTTGCTGTGTGTGTGTGTGTGTGAGTGTCGAAATTTAGCTCAGCACTTGGAATTTGTATTAAATAACATTTGCATTGGCACTTGGTTGATTTAACTTTTCGCTTTTTGCTTTTCGTTTTATTGCTTCTTGCTCTTTGAATATATTTTTAGTTGCTTTGCGTTTTGTCGGAGCTCGTTTTCTTAAAACATGTTAACCGCCTCGCGTTTCAACTCAAACTGATTGCTGAAGTTGCACGCAGTCGACTCCGTTGGCTCGTTGAAAATGTTTTTACGAGCGACGACGCCAACGAATACACACACACATAGCAAGAAAGCAGAAGGCAGACAGACAAGAGTATGTCTGTGTGTACGTGTGTTGGCTAGTTCGTGTTCTGTTGCTGCTGCTGCCGCTGCTAGTGCTGCACTCACACACATGCAACTGCACACATGCACATGTACTCGCTCTCACATACGCGCTGCTCTGCTCTTTGCGCTCCCACACATATAGGCAGCGTCGCGACGCCGCTGTCGCTGTCGCTGTCGACGTTCGCGTCGAGTGCATTTCCTGCATATGCAGTTTAGCAACATGCATATGCGCGCTCTCTCACTCTCGCCCTAACTCTCTCTGGCACACATATAGACACACGACGGCTCACATGCTACACACGTATGTGAGTGACTGCTTAGTTGCGGGCGCTCTCGCTCTCACCAAAAGTAGGGGAAATGTTGCTGCTCGCACATGCATGTATATAAAAGCAAAGAGCATACTGTCTCTCTCGCTCTCTAGCTCACTGAATTTGTTGCTGCTATCTTTCAGTTGCAAACCGATCGTCGACCGAGTACAAATTTCATATGTTTTTTTTCCATTTTTCTGCTCGACTTTAATTGCTGGCGTTATCAACAAATAATTAAATATTGTTTAAGCTGAGGTTTCTTAATTTGTTGCTTATCAGTTATATATATACGTATATATATTTATTTCTTATTAAGCTGCTAATCTTCAGACGATTTATGTATAAGTTCATCAGCGTCAAGCGTCAGAAATATCAAATTAATTTTTTTTAATGACTTATTAGTAAAAATGTATGTTAATTGCTGTGAAATAATAATAAATAACATAGATTATTTGTTAACAAATCTTTAGCACATATAAGCATACATACATATATGTACATATGTCTTATTATTTATTTTAATGTTTAAATATGTTTAAAATAAAGCACAGAGCTCAAAGTTATTCATAATAAAATTTCCATTAAAATATTTAGTGCTTCCGTTTAATATTATTATTATTTTTTGCCTCAATATATCGTTTAAGCTCATTCGCATAGATATTTAATGCATTTTCTAGAAATTTAATGTTATTGATATTTTATTTACCAATTAAAATTTATTTAATACTAAAACAAATATATATAAATATTCTTATAACTTAAAATATAAAACATATTTTAAAATAAAAATAATTAATATATATTTTATACTTTATTTAATTGTTTTTTAGTCAAAACAACATATTATTTATCATTTTTATACATTTTTACTCAATCTTCAAATATATTTTCCTTATTTTGCATTAAATTCCTTTTAAAATATTTGAATTTATATAGAAATTATTTTCCTCTTCATAGACTTTTTATAGATTAATGCTTAGCTGCTTCCTTTTTTTGTAAGCTTTGTGGGCAACAGTCAACAGGCTGTCTTGCAACATTTTGTGTGGCATGTGTCGCCGTCGTCGTCACACCTCAGTACGTTTGTGTCCTTTCGAACTCGTTGCATGCGTCGTGTTGCAATACGAGTGTGAGCTTCATATTGCCTGTGTTGCTATTGCCATGTTGCATGCCACGCGGCCCTATGCCAACTAGTTCAGCCCGAAGTTTGCACCCATAAAATGCTGTTTCTATTGTCGTATGTCAAATAATCTTGTATATTTCAGAAGCCCGCACATATGTAGATATATATATATATATATATATATATATATATATATATATATATATATATATATATATATATATGTATATATATATATTCATTCAGGCATTCTTTTGAACTTTTGTTGGTTGGGAAACTTTTTCTTGCTGCAATTTGGCAAATTGATTCGCTTTTAAAAATTTGCTTATTTATTGGGTTTATTTTTGCAAAGTACTGCGAGAGAGAGGCGAGATAATGTCTTTTAAAAAGAGTATAAGAAATTGATATTATTGATGAAAATTCAATAATATTATAATAGAAATCTGCAACAAATGAAGAGTGCATAAATTTACACTTAACTCAACTGAAACTATTCAAATTTCAACAAAAATGAGGATTTACTAACAAGCTCTAAAAAAATTGAACATAAATATATTTTATTAAAATATATATACAAATAACAATATATTTATACATCATGTATATATAAATATTTCTTTATATATTATATTTATATAAATTGCCTTGCTTTATTTATTTTATTTCATATTTATATTCTTTGATTTATATTTTTTGCCAATCAGACTTTGGCCCACAATTATTTTTTAAGCCGAATTTCTTGAAATTTGTGAATAATATTTGCTTAGGCTTTTTTACCGCCTACAAATTGGTAGGAAATTCGTTGGCAACGCTTTTCCCACTCTTTAATCCCCAACTTTATACTGTTTTTGCGTGTCTGCTTACATTTGTATCTGTGTAATATTCATGTTGCATTTAGGCATTGGGCATTAGGCATTGGACGTTAGGCGATGCGCCTCATCATTTTGGTGCTTAGCCGCGCGCGAGAATTATAGAAATGTGTTCGCTTTGCTGGTAGTCAGCAAATTTACGAGTTGCTACCGTGCCCATTTATGTCAACTAGCAAGAGTCTTTCAGAGGCATGCCCCTTGCCGCGCTGGTGCCTGCAAAGCTTAAAATATTGCATATGAATGTTGCATGCGACGCCAGCAACACACATTAACGAGCTACTACAGCAGCAACATCGTCGCTGCCTCAGTCGACGTCAGCTGAGGCAGCAGCAACATCGTCGTCGGCGTCCTCTGTTGGCAACATTACGGTTTGAATGCTATTATTATGCCATTTTTAATGCCTTTTACATTCACGCGCGCAACAAGCGGCTGACGTAGACTGCGCTGCCGCTCCCGCTGCCGCTGCCGGCGTCGCCGTCTTTGTGGGCCACGTTTTTATGCTCTGCTTCGCTTAGCAAATGCCTGTTTGTTGCTTCTTCTACAGCTTCTATGCCCTGTTGTCCAGCCCAAGCTGGGTGTATGCTAGCTTTAAGTGTAGCTTGAAGCCAGCATCGACTGATTGAAGTGTTTCCAGGCAGGCTTTATTCACAGAAATAATTGGGATAATATTGCACCTAAACTTTGTATTTCTGTGTATTACGAGGAATTTATTTGGTGCATTTGATCATTTGTGAATTAGTTTAAACAAATTATTTTAGTAGACAATTTTTGTTTCAAATTATTTATATATTATTATTTATAATCAAAATTATTTTCTTCAAGAGTCATTGACATTTATTTAATTACTTTTGACGTTGTTTAACAATCTTCATAAAAATAGTAGTGCGACTGAGCTCTAGAAGTTTGACAACACAATTTAAACTCAATATGTTGACATTTTGAAACGAATATTAAGCTTGAAATATTTCAGATTTCTTTAGATGCTTAAATATAGATGTATTTGTATATTTAGTTATAATATATATAGGGGCAGCTGGGAAATATATGGGACACGAAGTCATAAACAAAACATGGTACAAAAAATGTTGTTTCCTTTTTTGGAATATTAAATATCAGTCTTTTCTTAAAAATAAATTTATATTTGATATATTATTGTATATATATTTAAATATGATTTCTATATTTAATTTAATTTAATTCTCATACACATTTTATAAATTTACCTTTATTATAATTAAACTCTATTACAATTATATTTCTTAACAATAATTAATGTATAATATTTTATATTTTACTCTTACTAACAAAAGTATCTCTCAGTCAGGCATGGTCTCTCTGCCTCTCTATACCTTAAAATTTTCCCACATTTTTTTGCTGTTACAAATTTAGTTACTGGCTATTTAATGTCATTTTTAGTTACTTTGGCTGTGCTAATTTTGGCATTAGTGTGTGTGTGTGTGTGCTTGTGTTGTTTCCGTTGAAAAATAGTAACAAAAAATATAGCAAACGCTTACTTAATTTGGCCAAATGCATGCGGCGCGCTGCAATGCAAGTTATTTGCTGTCCGTTGTGCAGCCCAGCTCGCCCACCTGTCATATGTGCATAAGCACAAGCATGGCTGTATGTGTGTGTGTGTGTGTGTACTTATATTTTTTGGCTGTCGACTTATGCCACTTAAAATTACATTAAAAAACTTCTGTCGTCTGCCAAGCCGCACACAATACACACGCCCGACGCCCCTCCGCCCACTCATCTGACATTCCAATACACGGCATCTCTCTGCCTGCCTGCCTTCCTCTCCCTGCTACTCTCCCTCACCCACTCCCTCTCTCCGTACGTAACTCCCTGGCCTTTGCTCTGCTTATGGCTAGTGCAAACTTTGCCCAGCTTTTGGGAGTTTACGTTTCTGCCTTTGCTGCTGCTGCTGCTGCTGTTGCTTCAATATACACTTGCTGTGGCTACTGAGGTTACTAACTATGTAACATCTGGCAAGATAGACCTTATCTATTACCTTTATTTATATATAAACTCTGAGCGTCTATGTGCAAAGGCTTAGCATGGTGCAACAGTGTTTGATGTGTCGAAATAAACTGATTTAGTCTTCATAAGAGAACTTTTACTATAGCTCTATAGAAAGTTTAACTCTTTCCTCCCCTCTCTCTCTCAAGCTGTCTATGTTAGGGCATCAAATCGTCGTATCATCCCGCTGCTCTCTCATAGCATTTTTTTTGCCTTTTGTTTTGCGGCGTTGCAAATATGAAACTTTTGTTACTTAATTATTTTGTTTGTTGTTCTTGTTAATGTTGCTGCTGCTGCTGCTAGTTGCTGTTGCTGCTATATTGTTATTAATTAATTGAGTTACACTTGCACTGCAATTGGTGTTGCTATTGTTGTTGCTCGCTGCTGTTGCCTGTTGTTTGTTTAGTGGTGCGAATATTTTATGAATTTTTAAATTTCATTAACGTGGCATGTGCCGACAATGTTGTCGCTGTCGTTGCTGTTGCTGTTGCTGTTGTCACATGTCGACGACCTCCTGAAATCAACTGTGTGTGTAGCTATTAGG